CGCGCGCTGAGGAGGCGGGTGAAACGCTGCGGGGGCTGGTCTTTCTCGTCGGGGTCCGGCCGCGCTGCGGCGCGCGCGTCTGGCTCGGCGAGGCGCTCGCGAAGCAGGAGATGCAGCGCCGCGAGCGCCAGGGGGTTGGGCTCCTCCTGCACCGCCGGCGGCGGAAGGTCAGAGTCCAGAGCGTCCATGACCTTGTCGAGGGCCTGCAGTCGAACAGCGGCGCGCTGGCGAGCGGCCCGCGCTGGTGCCCACCTCGCCAGCGGCGCGCGGCGGCGAACTGGGAGCTGTCGAAGCGCCGGCAATAGCTGACTCGGCCCACGAACGCGGCAGTCGGTAGCGAAGCTGCAGAAGCTAAGAGAAATGCGGGAACACTTCCGGACTAGTTGGCTCAAACAGTCTCGAGGGACAAATGGATAACATTTGCCCAGTTGCAACTCTGCTGGATGATCTTTGACAATTTATTTTGGGTGGGGTGTTTTTTCTGGCAAATTCGATCTTGCTCCTGCTCGCCATCTTGGTCTCAGGTCGATCGGAGCATTTTGAAAAGGCAAACTCTATAATTGGGTGGGTTACTCGTCCTGAGACTATGTTTTGCGCATGCGCTCGGCTCATAGGCTGAATCTCAATATTCAGAGCAGCTGCAGAGGTTTCATGTGTACCAATAGCTGCATCAACCTGTGGGGCATTAGTCCAGAGGGTTGAGAAGCCTGGAATCGGCCTGCTTCTATGGCCGAACAGCTGTTCGCACTCTACAGCGATCTGATGCAAATCTCTAGGGCAGCTACAGAAGTATCAGGTATACTGATAGGTGGAGTAGCATCGAGACGATTCGTATACATGCTCGGTAAATATGAGATCGGTCTGCTACTCGAACGATGGCCGAACTACTACTCGCACGCTGCAACTATTTTGAACATCTGTTCGGCTCTTCATCTTGACCTCACTATTCCGAGCAAATACAGAGATTTGACGTGTATCAATTGCTATAGCAGCACCGAATGCATCAGTCTGGATGATCGATACGCCTGAGATCGATTCACTACTCGAGCTATGGCCGAACAGCTTTGTGTACTCTACAACTGTTCGAGGCAAAAGTTCGGTTTTTCCGCCTTGATCTCGACATTTAGAGCAGCTGCAGAGTTCTGATGTAGAGAAATAAGTTCATTAGCATCAGAAGTTCTCGTTCGCATGCTCGAGAAGCCTGAGATCAGCTTGCTTTTCAAGCTACAACCGGACAACTATTTTGCACTCCGCAGCTTTGTTCGGACCGTGTGGAATGTTTATAGATTTTACGGTTGAATGCAAAACGAGGAAGCAGAAGTGTTTCGAAAGCGTACTAAATAAAAAAAGCTCTACGAGTCCACCGGTGCTCACCTTGGTTGACGGTTTACCGCCAGCGCCTAGTCAGAGGTCACGTCAGGCGGACTGTCGGAGGCAGCGGCAGGAGGTGCCTGCAGGGGCGGCTCCTCCAAGGGCGGGTCCACCGCTGCTGCTGGTGCCGCGCTCTGCTGCTGCTGTTGCGGTCGCTGCTGCTGCTGGGAGGCGCAATGCCTGCAGGCGACCGTGAGGCAGGACGAACACCTGTAGATCCACTTCCGGTAATTTCCCGATGCCGCCCTCGCGCTCCGCGTTTCTTTGTTGAAGAGGCTCGATGGTCACTCTTAGCCTAGCCACCGGTCCGTGGCAGCTGGCATTCAGCGCATGGCGTCACATGTCGCCGCCGCCTGCTGGACGAGGCCTCCGCGTCGACGGCCAACGCCGGGGCCGCCAGCGCGTGGCCTAGTGACGGTCCTTGGTTGGCCAAATTGGGCTTCACTAGTGGCGTCGGGCAGTCGTCGGAAACCTACTCGGGTCCTGGGCGCCGAGCCTCGCCGATGCGAGCGCCGCACCAAAGGCTCCGCAATCTGCAATCGCGCGGCGGCAGCGCCATCCGCAGCAGCTGCAGCATACCAACTACAGGTCCGCATCCGTACCAACTGCAGCTTCTGCTGCCGGCGTGACCCAGCCGGCTGCTGGCGCCAGCGGCAGCGTGCGCTGACCCTGCGGGAGAGCCCAACTGTCGCGAACTGAATCGGTTCGCGCTCCCGGGAGCGAGATCTCCCGTCGGCCTCCGCCCCCTCCTCGTCCTCCTTCGCGGAGCGGGCTGGGGAGGTTCCGCGTCAGCCTGAGCCCCTTCCGCGGCGCGCTGCGGGCGGCTCGGAGGCGGGCGGCCTCCGCGGCCGCGACCTCGGTCCCGGGCATCGCGGAATCGCCAGCAGCGCCCCGGCCCTCCGCCGCACCGCCGGCACCTGCAGGGCCCGCGGGCGCGGGGGACAGCAGCAGCACGGCCAGCAGCTGCTGTGCGAGGCCTTCTGCTCCTCTCTGAGCAGCGGCGGCGGCGGCAGCCGCAAACGCACCATCGAAGCCCGCGACCCCAGCTTCGGCGGCCAGGCACGCCGCCGCGCCTGCAGCAGCAACCTCCACCTGCACCGCGGCGGCCGCCTGTTCCGCGACCTGCATCTCGAAAGTGGCCTGGGCTGGGCAGCGCGAGCGTCCGCTGCCTCGGCAGCCCGCTGGGCCTCAGCGACCGCGGTCCGAGCCGCCGCCGCGGCCTCCTGGGCGCGCCGCGCCGCGGTTCCGCCCCGAGTCCGAAGCGGACTGCAGCTGGCGCTCGAGAGGCCGGGCAGCACGCACCGCCTCCTGCAACTCGGCCGCCGCGGACTCGAGCCCCGCCACCTCTGCCATCCGCTCGGGGAAGGGGCGGAGGGCGGTAATGCGGGCCTTTCTGCCGGCAAGGCCCTGCTGGGCGGGATTGGCCGCCGGGGGAGGGACATCGTCCGCGGCTGCCCGCGGGGCCGGAGGCTGCGGCGGCGCAGCCGCCTCGGTACCGGGGGTGGGCGCGAGCCCGCCCCGGCCACGAGCCCTGCCCATGGCGCCGGCGTCGGCGGGCCCGCTGGCGCTGTGCTCGTGCGCGCTCGCACTGAAGGCTCCGCCCGCGGGGCCTGCTGGCCACATCCTCGGCAAGAGGTGCCCCAGCCGAAATTGTCGGTAATCCTGCCTGCGCAGCTCCAGGGCGCCTTGCGGGCCCCCTTGGCCTCGCCAACCGCGCCGCGCCGCCGCGCTGCCCAGACGGCTGCCGCGCCTGCGAGCGCGGAGGCCGCGCCGCTCCAGCAGGACGACTCGCCTGCGTGCACGCCTCCGCCGACTTGTCCAGCTGCCGCTGGATGGCGCCCCGTGGCAGCTGGGCGTAATCCCCGCGCCCGCCGCCACTCCCGCCCGGCATCCGGCACCGGCCACACGCGCGGACTGTCCTACGCGCTGGGCCGGGAATCAGAAGATGCCAGACCTAAGCTTGACCCCTTGTTGCTTGAGGAAGAGGAGTACGATGAGGGTGAGGATGAGGACAAGTGTAAACCCAAGAGTCATCAACGATGTTGGAACAAACCCTCCCTCAAAATTCCTCTTCATTGGCCACTGCAACGGTTCATTTCTACTGAGGGAGCAACTCTTTGGAAGACACCGTTGGCCAAAACATTGCTCTCGGAATCCCAACGCCACGGGTCAAACTGACTATTGCCAGAGGAAAAAGAACTATGCACATACACCGATTCTGGCCAGACCCATCCTGAGCCCATGATCGGTGCATACGCCCTCCTACCTTGGCCAGGAAGGCATATGCACCGATCCTGGGTCAAGGATGGGCCTTACCAGGATCGGTGCATGTGCATAGTTCTCTTCGCCCTAATTGCGTGTTGACGATCCTGAATCGTGCAAGAACGCCATTCCTGGGACTTCGACACAGCGAATCAACATAGTTAATTGTTGCACCCTCATAGTCCTGTGTCCTTCCAAAACACTATTTCTGGTACGCTGGTCATGAGAATCCGTGAAACCTTTGCAATGTTTAACAAGAATGTGCGCGTCGCTAAGGCGAGAGCAACATTTTGAACAGGAACCGCCCTCAATCCGTGAAGCTCCTGCATGTTTTCAGAACGGATGTGCGCGGCGCTAAAGCGAGAACCGCATTTTGAAAAGGAACCGCCCTGCACATGGTTAAAAACGAATGCGCGCGGCGCTAAGGCGAGAACCACATGCACTCTCACAATAAAACAATCAAGCGAGAGCCACATTTTGAAAACCACCCGCCCTCAATCCGTAAAGCTCTTGCACAGGTTTAAAACGAATGCGCGCGACGATAAGGGGAGAGCCACATTTTGAAAACGATCCGCCCTCCATCTGCGAACCTGTTGCCACTTTTTAAGCTTCAGGGTCACACGTGATGAGGAAGTCTCAGGCGAAACGCCCGGCCCGCCCTAAAAACCGGCCTCGGGGTGCGACAGGGAGAAACTATCAACAAGGAGAAGGAATTGAAGATGAGGATGAGGATGAGGATGAGGACGAGGAGGAGAAGGATGAGGAGGAGGAGGAAGAGGAGGAGGAGGGGGCGGAGGAGGAGGAGGGGCGGAGGAGGAGGAGGAGGAGGAGGAGGAGGAGGAGGAGGAGGAGGAGGAGGAGGAGGAGGGAGGAGGAGGAGGAGGAGGAGGAGGAGGAGGAGGAGCATGAGCATGAACATGACCATGAAGATGAGGAAGAGGAGGATGATGATCATGAGGATGATGATGATGAGGAAGAGGGTGAGGATGACGATGCTGCTGCTGGTGGTGGCGATGATAACTTACTGATGCTAATGATGACGATGCTGATGACGACGACGATCATGATGCTGATGCTGATGCTGATGCTGATGCTGATGCTGATGATGATGATGATGATGATGATGATGATGATGATGATGATGATGATGATGATGATGCTCAGGAGGAGGAGGAGGAGGAGGAGGAGGAGGAGGAGGAGGAGGAGGAGGAGGAGGGGGAGGAGAAAGACACGGAGTAGGAGCAGGATGAGGAGCAGGAGGAGGAGCAGGAGCACAGCAGGAGAGGAGGGACGAGAAGCCGCAGATGTCTGCGCTGCCCCCCCCCCCCTCCCCTTGAACGGTGGCAGCGGTCCGCCCCGCGAGCCCCTCACGGCTGCCACGGCAACGTCCCTGGAAGGGCGCCCGAGGCGGAGTCCCCGTCCGCTGGGGCCGCCGGGAAGTGCTGCCTGGGGCGGTGGATTTTTTTCAGTAGGCATCGCCCCGCCAGCCGATTGGCTGATGGGCTGAGAGGAGCCGAGCAGTGGTTTTCACTGGCGCTCGACGTCTGGTGGGATGATGCCATGGGGGTAACGAGAAGACGAATAAGGACGACGACGAGGATGAGGAGAGAGAGAGAGAGAGAGAGAGAAAGAGACAGAGACAGAGAGAGTGAGAGAGAGAGAGAGAGAGGCGGAGGGGAAGAGGGGAAATGGCGGGGAGAAGGAGGGAGGAGTGGGACGAAGAGGAGGAAGAGGAGGATGACCCCAAATCCAGATTTTCAGAGGTTCGCTTATACAGATCCTCTGGAGACATCTGGTGACCGCAGCAAGGGGCCCTGCCACCAAGGTTTCGGAAACCCTGCAAACAAAATATTAGGAGTAGCAGCGGCAAGAGGAGGAGGAGGCCAACCCGCCCAGACGGCCGAACGGACTCTGGCTGAGCCCGGCAGCAGGCACAGCTCCGCCGAAGCCAAGATCGGCCGCTCGATCATTGTTCGGTCCTGTTCGACTGGTCCAAACTTTTCTTGGGCCCCTCCCGATTCGTTTTTTACTGTCGCGGCTTTTGCATCTTCCATCCTGGCCGCCCCCACACCGTGCTGCGCACACGCATCCCTCGGGGGTAGTTCGTCTAGGCTGGCCTCAGCCTGTCCCCAGGGTCGTCCAGGGCGGTCAGCACCTCTGACAAAGGGGTGCCGAGACCGCCACGGCGGGCCCTGGAGCCCGAGGGAGAACGCCGGGAATGACAGACATCAGTGTGCCTCGCCGACGAGGACAGAGACGACCACGACCGCGAAGGTCGCCTCCAACGGCGCCCTCGGGCCCCCGGGGCCTGCTGAGGCCAGCCGGGACCACCACCGTGGGCCTACCCGTGCGGACCTCCGAGACTCTCCAGCGAGGCGGGGCCACCATGGCTGCAATCGTCGCGCTGCCATGAGGAACGCTGAGTCGGGAACGAAGGGGCTTTTCTGGCCACGGCTAGCATCGGCCACGTAAAACTTCCTGACCTACCTCCAAGAAGCGACCCGATAACCAGAACCCCTCCTGAGCCCAAGCGGTTCTTAGTTCAACTTGTCGGCTGTACGCTTGCTTTGTTTTGAGAGCTTGTTAACTTGTTGTTTCGTTTTCTTGGACGATTCATTTCTGAAACGCACTTATTGTTGATCCACCCTCTCCGGTGCCCATTGCCTTTCAAATCAAGTGCCCCTTCCGGGAACCGCGTGTTCTATTTACAAGGGGAGCTCTTGCGGCTCAGATTGGCCCCCTGGCCCCCGAACTACAACAAAAACGGCTCCCGCCTGATACTTCATCGCAATGCATTCAAGAATCGCGCTTGCGCTGGGGACTTCCTCACTTGCGTGGGACTTCCATGCAATTTATTCAAGCGCCGCCCTCGACACTCAATAATCACGCTCTCACCCAGGACTTCTCGACAAGTTACTCAGGACGGTCCCTTGCTATTTTTCGAAGAATCGCGCTCTCGCTCGAGACTTCTGTGCAATTTGCCAATGAATGGCGCTCTCGCCTGGGAGTTCCTTGCAATTTACCAAATAATCGCGGTCTCGACTGAGATTTCCATGCGATTTGCTGAAGACTTTTATGGCCAGCCCGCCCAACCCGCCCGTCACGGACCGCCCGCCCACCCTGCCCGCTGGGGCCCGCAGTCGCCACTCGCTGCCGCTTTCATGCCCGACCCGCCCGACCCGCCCGTGTCCGCCCGCCCCGACCGCCTGTTTCCATTTCTTGTTTTCCTGCGTCTCTCTCTTCCCCCCTTCCTGCTAGTCTTTCTTGTCCTCCATCCTCCTCCCTCCCCCTTGCCTCTTCCCTCCTCCCTCCCTTTAGCAATGCCTTTCCTCCTCTCTCTTTCCCTTTTTTCTTCTCCCCGCTCCTGTTCTAGGGGCTGCGCCAACTACGCGTTGCAGGTAAGGAATATACGCTGCAAAAGGGGGTGCGATCGAAGATGAAGGGGGCGAGTATCGAGAGATTGGGCTATGCATGTTGACAGACACGCGTGCAAACGATACCAAGCAATCTGGAAATGATTGTTGAGTTCTCATGTCGGCAGACTAGTTATTGCTGACCCCTCCTCCAGCATCATACTATATTCTGCCATTGAAATGCCCAGCCCCGGGGCTCGCACTCAGTTTTTACAGGGGAAGGTATTGAGCCTCAGACTGTGCCCCTGCCCCCCCCCCCAGTTTACAACAACAGCAATCGTACACTGTTCACTCCTATCTGCTCGCGTGTCATTCAGCATCTTCTTCTGCTTCGATCGTAACCGCTCGGGGGTAGATCATCTTCCTTGTCTGTCACGTGTAGCTGGCGCAGCCCCTAGAACAGGGGAAGGGAGAGAGGAGGGAGGGGACGAGGGGGAGGGAGAAGGATGGAGCACGAACGAGACTAGCTGGAGTGGAGTTCGGAGCAGGAGAACAAGCGGCAGAACCAGACGGGCGGGTCAGGCGAGCGGACCCTAACGGGCGAGTCGGGCGGGCGAGTCCAGACGGCCAGGTCGAGCGGGTGGACCGCTGGAGCATCAGTCAGGCATGAATCGCGAGGAATTGTCGAGCGATGGTGCGATTCCCAATTAACTTGTGAGGCAGTCCAGAGCGTGAGCGTCCTTTGTGTGGCGAGAACGTGTCGTTTCAATAAACTGCGAAGAGGTCCCACGCGAGAGCGCGACTCCTGGATACGTTGTGAGGTCGTCCCGCGCGAGAGCGCGACTTTGAATGAGTTGCCAGGAAGTATCAGGCCAGATCCATTGTTGAGTTCTCATAATGACGAAATAACTATTGTTGATCATCCCTCCAGTCCACCTTTTGTTTTTTTATTGAAGTGCCCCTCCTGGGGCTCGCACCCTGTGTCTTGGGCCTTAGACTCCGCCTCGTAAACCTACCCTGTGCCTTATAAGGACAATTAGTTATCACCGAATCGGGAAATCGGATCGGATCGGAACGTGGCATCGGATCGGGCTGCATCGGTAATTACGAAGCCGGAACCGAAGTGGGTCGGCCTCAGAACGGAAAGGGCCTCCCGAGACTTCTGGGGCCATTCGCGCCCAGACGACGAGGCCCTGGGAAGGCACTCCACCTTGAGGCTCTGTGCCCCAAACATCCGACGTTTGTTCCAAGCCTGCCTGCCGAGACTTACCGGGCCAAGGACGGCGCCGGAGGAGCCGCCAAGGGGACTCAGCGCCGATCCAAGAAATCGGCGAGCCCGCCCGCTTCTTCGAGCCAGTCCACAAATCCGCACCGTTTTTATTCTTCCAGCCGGGTCGCCTCTAGAGGCCTCCTAGATGGGGCCCGAATAGATGGGGTCGGAAGATCGCACCGCATCGGCGACACATCGCCGATGCATCGGCGATGTGTCGGCGACGACGGCGATGCATCAGAGAACCCCGAGAACCGTGCAGGAGAACCCAGAGAAACCCGCGGAGAACCCCCCGAGAACCCATAGCACCCAGAGAACCGGGAGAACCCCGGACAACCCCGTGGAGACAATCGGGCTCCACAACGAGCCGCATCGCCGATGTATCGGCGATGTGGCCTGATCCTCCGACCCAGTCTGCTCCGACCCCCTCTGGGAGGCTTCGAGCTTCCTGGGCCACCCCTCACAATTGGTCCCCAGACCCCTCCTGGGGCCCACCTGGTGCAGCTTTCACCCCAAATTCGTTGTTCACGGTCCTGGGGCCCACAAACAGCCCCCCGAGGCCGAAAACCCAGAACCCAGCGAACCTACCTCGAACCCAGAGCCTACCTCGACCCAGAACCTAATTACCTCGAACCCAGAACTGGCGCAAAAACCTCCCCGAACCGTCGCCGCCGCCAGCGTCGGCGTGGACGCCGCCCGCCTCGGCGTGGACGCCGCCGACTCAAACGCCGACGACCCCTCCGAGGCGTCCGGGCTCGGCAGCCGCGCCCGCGGCGGCCTGCCCAGGCCCGCCGGGGCGCCCGGCGCTGGCGACGCTGCCCGGCTGGCGTCGGCCAGCGCGGGCTGCCGCGGCCCGCCCTGCCGGGCCAGGTCGGCCTGCGCCGGGGCCGCCGCGAAGGCCGCGAGCCAGTGGCCGTTCACCTCCTCAGGGAGCCAGGCGTTGGGATCCCTGAGATCCTGGCGTCTCAGTCGTTTCGAGCCGGGCGTTTCTGCCCAATGTCGGGCCCCCGGTCCCTCACAGAGCGATCCAGCTCGCAAAATGCAGCAGAAAGATGAGGCCTAGGGTTCCGGTCATGATTTTTTAAAGATGTTTCAACTCTTTCGAGCTGTCGGATCTTAAGGGACGTTTGCTTCGAACATTTTGGGTTGGTTTTCGGGGTATGGGGTGGCTTCCATCCGCTGCGCCTCGTCGCGGGCGTTCCCAGGGTGCCCGGATCGTCCAGAACGGATGCCAGAGACCCGAGTTAGGAACCGAAAACTAAATCTTCGACGATGGGTGGGTGGGAGGGTTGAAGGCCACATAGCGAGCGCAGTGTGCCCGCCCGAACAAATTTGAGCTCCTAGAGGTTATCGTTGGTTCCTGGCGATTTTCTCGCTTCGGGATGCTTTCCAGCAGCTGCCCTGGCTGCTTACAGAGGCTTGAACAATGGCCTGAAAACTGAAACTTCAGACGATGTTTTTTTTGCACTCTGGGAGCTTTTCCTCGATTTCGCCCCCTGGGGGCCGTTGTCAGGCCCTGGGGCCATCGCAAACGGATCCGCGGCACAAAACTAATCCGCCCCAGGGAAGGGGTCGGGACCTGTGGGGCCGCGCATTGAGAAACAAGATCGGCGGGTGCCAGGGCTCGGGAAGCCCAGCGAAGAAAGAATCCAATCATCGGCGTAGCTCCGCCAAGAAATCCGCGCGGACCTTCGAAACATTACATCTGATTCTGCATGTCTTGCTATTCAAGACGAACGCGCCCACCCACGTACGTGATATAACCACCACTTCGCAGGGCCGCCCTCATGCCACCAACGTTTGCATAATTCATGCATTAATGCGCTCTCTCGAGGCCCGTGCAAATTCATGACGCGTGCGTCTCTGTGTCGCTCCTGACTCCTGCGGCCCTGACCTACATCGCATTGAACAACCAATCAACACGGACGTTTCTTGCGCCGCTCACTCTCGGGTTGCCCTTCACGTGGCCCCGGAGCCATCAACAAAACGCTTGGGGGTGAAAAGCCGGGCTCGGGGGAAAGGCAGGATCCGTCAGCATCGAAGCGGGAAATCGGATCGGATCGAACTGTGCATCGAATTGAGCCGCATCGGCGCGGCCGAGTCGAGTCGAATCGCCATCGAATCGAATCAGAATGCACAGGCTGCACAACAACAACAACGAATCGCCATCGAATCAGAATGCACGAAATCGGCCGTGCCAGGCTGCACAACAACGGTCGCATCAAGCTGCCGCACTGTCGGAGCGAATCGGGACGGGCGGGCCGAGGCCGAGATCGAATCGGATCGATCGAATCGACATGGACCCTGGCGCTGCCCGTGTTAGCTCCCGGGCCAGCATCACAGGCGGCCGCTTGGGACGATGCTGGCATCTCCGGAACACCCTCGACGAGGCGCAGCTGGTGACGACCGCCCCCCGCCCCGAGCTCCTCCGACACCCACAACAGCAACACTCATGTTAAGACTGTTGGTTCTTCTCTGCTCGAATGTCATTCAACCTATGTGTCCCAACCCCTCGGTGCCCGACATGCGATGCCTGATTTTCCAGTACGCGCCCCCCGGAATCCCCGACCCTTTCCCAAAGGCCGGCTTTTCATCCCGAACCTTTCTTTGGATAGTCCCGGGGCCTGGAGAGGGCCTCCAAATGCAAGATCAATCAACATCGAATCGGAAAATCGGATCGAATCGAAATGTGCACCGAATCGGGCTGCTCCGGTACGGAATCGGAATCGAGTCGGGTCGGCTGCGCCAGGATGCACAACCGCGCCATGCAGGCATCGGGCCGCATCGGATCGTCGGAACAGCGGAATCGAATCGGATCGGGCCGGCCAACACCGGCGTCGGTTCGGATCGATCGGATCGAAGTGGACCCTGCCCAAAGGCCGAAACCTGCGAAACACCTCCGTCCTTGGAGGCTTGGAACTGGGCACCATCACCAACACATGGTTTTGCCTCCACCACTTCGGCCACCCAGGACGCCCGAATGGTACCACCATCACCGAGATCGGGATCATCCTCCCTCGGTGGAGGAACAACGCCGATCTTAGTGATGGTGCCAACCTTTAGACCTCCAGTCACGCGTAATTCTCGCGGCATGCTCACTCACGCGCCCTCCGCATGCTCTGGGTTCTCCCTCCCCAGCCAATCCAGAGGCCTCCCAGATGGGGTCGGAGCCGCTGGGGTCGGAGATAGGGGAACAGACAATGACATACACATACATCCTCGGAGGTCCGGGCGGATCCCTCGGATCGGCGCTGGGGCCGCCTGGCGGCGCCTCCGGCGCCGTCCCTGGCGCGCGGGGCGCGCCAGGGAGGGGGGTCCAGCGCCGATTCGAGACATTCGCACGGACCTCAGATTTTGCATGTTTGTGCCGCTGCTTGCTCCCTCAGGAAGATCGCGCCGCATCGCCGATGCAGCGCCGGTGCATCGGCCTCCGACGTGCTGCTGCCTTCTTCTGGGCGCTGCGGGCCTCCGACGAGCCCACGGCGGCGCAAAAGCGCCCAGAGGCGGCCGCAGGCCAGCCGTGGCTCCCCCCCAGAGGCGCCCTGAACCACAGGTAGGAGAGGGAGGAGGAGGAGGAGGAGGAGGAGGAGGAGGAGGAGGAGGAGGAGGAGGAGGAGGAGGAGGAGGAGGAGGAGGAGGAGGAGGAGGAGGAGGAGGAGGAGGAGGAGGAGGAGGAGGAGGAGGAGGAGGAGTGAGGACCTCCCCATCCTCCCTTCTTCCCCCGTCCTACTCCTGGTAGTGGTGGCGGAAAATCGACCCATCACGAGGCGCCCCGCTCCTCGCCGCGCGCCGGGCCCCACCGGTCGACCGCGGCCGCGGGCTGGGCCAGCGGGATGCCGCCTCCCAGCGGGATGCCGCCTTGGGCCGCCGAGGCGAGGACGCGGCGCGCGGCTCGGGCTGAGCGTTGCGTTCCGTTTTCGTTCCGTGTTCGCGCTCCCCCGTTCTGTCTTCGTTCCGCCCCTGCTGCAAAAGAACTCCAAAACGAAAGCGTGCGTGCCCAAGCTGGCCCAAGAACAGCGTGCGTGCTGACCAGAGCTGGCCCAGGCACGGTTTGGCTCGAGACAGCCCTGCGCAGTGGGCAACACACATCCGCGGGCCGCCTGCGGCGAAGCCCTGAGGGCCCCGCGTGGCAACTTCTGGCCATGTTCGGCCTCGGGGAGGGCCTCGGGGGGCCCTCGCCCGGCCCCAGGGCCGTCAGAAAGCGGCGCGGGATGGAGAGCCGGTTCCCAACGGAGAAGCACGACGTCGAGTGTCGGGAAGGGGGAGGGGGAGGATTGGACCATGAATGCCTCCTCGGGGAGAAGGGGGTGGGGGAACTTCAACACGATGAAGTGGGACGGGCGGGAGTGAAACAAACAGTTGGGGAGAGAGCAGGAGGAGGATGAGGAGGACAAGGAGGCCAAGGAGGACGGGGAGAGGGACGATGGAGAGGAGGTGGGGCGAACGATGTATGGAGCTCACTCACCAAAGGATTCGCCGACCCGACCCGACGGTGCCTCCCATTTCACCGCCACGAGCGGCGGCGGAAGAGGCGGCGGCAGGGAGGAGACGCAAGGTTGCGTGTGATGCCTGTTCTACCTCGGATGGTGTGCACCCCGCGCAGCGGAGAACGAGTCGATAAAAAAACGCAGCCAACATATGATCCAAAGGGGGGGGGCGGGGTCCCGCGCCGATCCGCGAAACCATTGCGAAGTGAAAAATTACCTGGGCGTTGTGACTCGAGAGTCTCCCCTTCCTCCTCCTCCTTCCCTCTTTTTGCCGTTCGGCAAATATGAGGCGGGGCCTGTTACGCCTGCGTGGCATAGGAAAAACATGAGGTACCGACTAAGGCCTGAAGGCAAACCAATAACGCCTGGCTGGCGCAGCGCAAAACAGAACGGCACTGAAGGCACAGCAACATACACTGGGCCCGCAAGGGCATGAAGTATGTGCCAGCCAGGCGGTGAAGTAGAGATAAAGGACCAACGCGAATTTGATCATAATAAGCCAATAACCGAGGAACGAACCGAACGATGGAGAGAGCGATATACACGTGCAACAGTAGGTGGCTGGTGGTCGCTCCCGCCGAAACATCCTCCTATCATTTTCCCCCTGTCACCATGTTATATCAAGGCTCGCAATACAACGCAACACGCGAACAAACTAACAAACGATGTGTGTAGCATGTAGCAGATCGGCCGGCCCAGGCTGTGCTGGCTGGCCTGAAGCAGTGCATGTACGAGTGTAAACTAAAGCTGGCATACATGTAAGACCAAGCGCGTGCGGCAAGTCTTGGGCTGCTGTCCAATGTTTTTCGTAGCGCCCCGAACCTCCTCGGCCCCAGGACCCACGTGCTTTTCGCAGTCTTTTTCGGGCTTAGCACGACCAATTGTTTGACACGTAGCGGGCAAAACATGTACTAGGTTTGCCATGTCAAATGGCTGGCCTGCGGATTCTACGGGTACTTATGCTAGCCTTTATCCCCACAGCTGGTCCTCTGATCTCCCTTTCCCCCTCCTCCTCCTCTTCCTCCTCCTCCTCCTCCTCGCGCGCCAACAGACACCCCGCGACGGCAGCACCTCGTGCGTCGCTTCGCCATCGTCCACTGCCACGAGGGTGACGCCGATGAAGCGTCTGACAGAGGTGGCCACCCGCGCCGAAGGCTCGACGCTCGCAAGGCGGAGACAAGGAGCGATGTGTGGAAACCACGCGATGCAACGGCACCGACGCTCGGCCATCTCGAGGCTCCCGTCGCCAGCCCAGTTAGAGAGCTCTTGGCCCCGAACGAGCCGTGCGTGCTCCGCTCCCGATTCTGGTTGCTCCTTGAGGCTGCCCCAACTTGGAGGCGGCCAGGTCTGAACTGGTTGGGGCCCCAGAAAATCTGTCAGGAGGAAGGATGAAGCCAAATCCGCTCAAAATCGGTCCCCGGAACCCTTCCGAAGTCCATCTGGTGAAAATTCTCCACCCTGGATCCTCACGTTCCCAGGGCCCGAACACCGCCCTGGGAGGCAGAAGAAGGCAACAAAGAGCTTCCCGATCCCAAAACCTCGAACCTGCCCGCCCTTCGTGCTGGCCTTTACCAGTGCGTGGCCACCTCAGACCCCCAGACGGCTCCAACTTGAGGGTGCCCCAACAACTGTAGCTGAAAGCAGCCTGTCTCAGGTCCAAGCCCCGAACCTCCGTCGTCCATGCCTGCGCCCGCGTCGTATCAGTTACCGCCGCCGACCACCGCTCTCCTGTCAGGTTGGGCGTCTGTGGCGCCGGGGCAGCAGCAGGGAGGGCAGGAGCAGCACGCCCAGGAACCAAGGCAAGGGTCACCACATCTCCCCCGTGGCCAGTGGCAGCCGCGACTGCGACGGCGTGCTGGGCGGCTGCGGCGTTGGGAAGCTCGAGGTGCATGGGCTCTGGTGAAGACGCGTGCAGTGCTGAACCGCTTCTAGCAACGACTGGCAGCGGACCCGCGCGGAACGCTGATTGGCCTGCGCGATGGCGGAGCGATTTCGCGCGCCGCAAACGGACCAATATGCCTGCCAAGCTACCAACGGCGCGCGCACAGTCTTCACGCATTGCGACAAACAAAGATATCAGGCAATTTGAAGGAGTTGCAACAATACATTCAGAACAATTGAAGATATTTCGTGATATGCCAAACATATCAAGGTCATTTCGGGAATTTCTGTAATCGCACGCAGGCCGCAAATTCCGCGAGGGGCGGCGAACAAATACTGCGCGGCAATTGCATTTTTTGGAGGGGGGGCGCGCGCGCGCTACTTTCCAGCTTGATTTTTTTTGCGCGCGCTAGATCGGGCGATATTTCAAACCGTCAACTAAACTTCCATACGTTCCGGTGAACTTCAGGATCTGGCAAGACACTCAAAGAAACGCGCGCTCGTGGAACATTGGGTATTCGTTCTTCATGGCCCATATTTCAAATAATGCGCACCACGTTGATGAAAACCGCAATTTCGCGTGAGAAACTGGTATTCTGCGCAGCTGCGGCGTAGGGAAGGGGCGGGCGAGGGGCGCGCAGGAGAAAGGCCTTGCTAGAGGTCGTTAAGTATCCCTCTGAGCTTTTGCAGCGCGAGGGCCAGCCGCCGCGCGTGGTCGTGGATCAGCTGGAGGAATTGCAGCGACTGGCCCTTCTGAAGCGAGGTTGCTGCCGCGCTGAGCACCTGGGCACAGACGAGGGACCAGGCACTGTGAGGCATGTCGGTGGCGGCACTGGCGTTGGGGCCAACGGCGCCGCCAGACTGTGCCGCCGCGGTGGCGGGGGCCACCCCCGCCTCCGACTGCAACTGCTCCTTCTCCTGGGCGGACTCGGCATGGCCTCGGCGTCCAGGGGGCGTTCGCAGAGTGGCTCAGGTCCGTTTGCCTGGGCCTGCTCAGACTCCTGCCGATACGTGAGGCGAACCAGCGCAGAGCGGATCATGTCATCTGGAGAGCGCGTGTCACGTTCCTTCTAATCCGCTGCTGCACAGGCTGCCAGGGCTGCCACCGGGTCGCATTCTCGTCATCGTGGCGATGACCCGACTGCTGCAAGGGCTGCGTGCTGCAGGGGGTGCCTAGACCGCCACCACAGGTGTCGAAGGTGGCGGAGCCTCTCTAGCGCTAACGGCGCCGTCTCGGCCGACGCCGCCGACGCGCTTGCCAGCCGACTGGGCCCTCCTGGCTGCGCCAGCCGACGGCGGGCGACTGCCGTCAGCGCGCTGTCGCGGACCGCGGAAACCACTGCGACCAGAACGGGCAGCTGGGAGACGTCGTGCGCGATCGCGCCCATACTGCAGACAGGTCGGGCGATGGCTCCAAGTGGCCTGGATTCCGCATTGCCTGGCAGCAAGGCGTGTCCATGCAGTGGTGGGGATCAGTCCTGTGCCCGCGGCGGGCGAGCCCTCCTCCGCCCGCTCAATCCATGGCCGCCCGCAAGTGAGGATGGCTCTCCCGTCAGCTCGCGCCACGTTCCCGCGCGGCCCGCCTCGGCGCGCGCGGGTCGGGCCTGAGCTGCCCCAGTGCGCAACGTGCAACGCGTAGCGTGTTGACGCGGAGCTCAACGCGTAGACTGAACGCGTAGGTCTGGCGCGAGACGTTCGCTAAAACGTGTGCCAACGCGACGCGCAGCGGGTTAACCCGGACGGTTTCAACGCGCTACGCGTTGCGCTTCAACGCAAGTGTATCAATGCAACTCGGCTCCCGACAACCCGCGCCGTATTCCCGCGCGGCCCGCCTTGGCGCGCGCAGGTCGGGCGCGGCCCCCTCCTCCTCAGGTTTTGCCAACGGGCTGCCATCAACAACGGCGCCAGCAAACGTCAGCAGGCGCCGCCGCTTCACCCGCCACGGCCTTGCGTGGCCAGGCATTAGAGCTTCACGTAGTCGCGCGGGCGGCTAGTTAATGAAGTCTTGTGGGCCCCCCACTGAAACCCACTCAATCCTACCTGCGACCCTGCTGACTCCCACGTCGGTGGGGGTGTTGGGAAACCTTTCCGTCATGTGCGTCTCTGTGCCCTTGCGGGCTTCTTTTCCGCATTTCTTTGCCCTTCTTGCTTCCGTCGTGCACGCACTGCTTGCGTGAACATTTGATGTGCATGCACGCGCTTCTTTCCTTTTCTGTTTCGCATGTGCGTTCTAACGCAACGGTCGTCCAACCAATGTTGGTAAAACATCAAATTTCTGGCCCCAAAACCCTGTGGTAATGAACCGCGTGGTGAGACCACGGAATCCTCAACGACCTCACCGCGCGGTCCGTCACCGCACGGCATTGGGACCTCGGAGGCCGCGGTCGCCCGAGACGCCCTCGGAGAACGACCCGAGTCCCCAGACCGTGCGGTGAACCCGAATCCCCACTGACTCACCACGCGGTGTGGTCACCATATCGTCTGCCCCCCCTTTCCCCCACACCCCCGAGCACGAAAAAGAAAGACGAACAACAAACGGCAACCACATACATTTTTGACGGTCCGTGCATATTTTCTGGATCTGCGCTGAACCCACCTCCCTGGCGCGCGGAGCGCGCCAGGGGCGGCGCCAGGGGGGCCCGTCGCAGATCCAAGACATACGCGAGGACCGTAACAAGTTTCTGCCTACAGTTGCAGTTTGTTGGTCTTCGAGAGAAAGTGGAGCAGGACTAGACAGCTGAGGCCACCTCTGGCAGGCAGCTCCGCCGCCTGGCGGGCAGTCACCTCGGCCCACCCCAGCGCCTTCTCGCCCGCGCCGGGCGGCAGGCCGCCCCTCGCGGGCCGCCACGCCTGCTTCTCCGCCAGCGCCGCCTGGCCGAAGAACGTGTCCGCCGTGCCTCCGCCGAAGAACGTACCACCTCGCCGGGAGAGAGGCCGACGCCAGGAGCAGACTTCTGCAAGGAGCCCACAAGAGGACGTGCGCGCCCAACCACGTACGTGAACACGTGCGAGACCAACCTCGTGATACGAACGTTGGCGCAATGCGCACTCCACTCTCGAAACCAGCTTGGATTCATGATGATTCATGTACGTGTACGTCCTTCTTTCGCTCCTGATTTTGAGCTTGGTCGGCGGCAAGCTGGGTCCAACAAGCGGTCAAGCAAATGGCGGGACGCAACCGCTGGGAATGGAGGCACGGGGGCGCGGCCGGGCGAGGGGCCGACGCCGGGAACACCACGCAGCTCCAATGCCCCCCCCATCTCGCGCGCCACTCCGCTCGACAGCCCGCTCTGGCGACCCCCGCCGCGAGCGCCGAACCCCGCCCCCCCGCGCGATCCCGTCCCCCCCCCCCCCCCCCCCTCCGCGCCCCGCCCCTCGCAAGGAGGACGCCCAGCCTCGCGAGGTACCCCCCTCCCTTCCCCCCGACACTCCCTGGGGGGCAGACTGCAGGCCAGGCCACCCGGGCACTACCACTCGGGCAGGTCGTCCCGCTGTCTGGACGTCCCCTGCTTTGCGATGCCCTCCTTCTCCGCCTCCTCCTCCTCCTCCTCCTCCTCCTCCTCTTCTTCCTCGTCCTCCTCCTCCTCCTCCTCCTCCTCCTCCTCCCTCCTCCTCCTCCTCCTCCTCCTCTCCTCCTTCTCGTCCTCCTCCTCCTCCTCCTCCTCCTCCTCCTCCTCCTCCTCCTCCTCCTCCTCCAAGGCCCCATTGGGGCGGGGCAGGAGGGGAGGGGAGGGGGAGGGGAAAGGGGGAGGAAGCCAGAACTCTGGGCCCGTGGAGGCCTGCCTAGTGGCGGTGGGGGGAGGAGGGGGGGGAGGAGGACGAGAAGGAGGAGGAGGAGGAGGAGGAGGAGGAGGAGGAGGAGGAGGAGGAGCACGAGGAGGAAGAGCACGAGGAGGAGGATGAGGAGGAGGAGGGGGAGGAGGAGGAGAATGAGGAGAAGGATGAGGGGCAGGAGGAGGAGCAGGATGAGGAGGAGGAGGAGGACCAAACAACGGTGCCAGCATACTCGACTCGTCGGTGGGCATACGCGGATATACACATGAAGAAGGAGGGCATTGGAAGTACGTTGGATCTCCACCCACCCCCTGAAGGCGAAGGAAGAGGGAACGCGACTCGATCCTTGGAATAGGAAGGCGGCTGACATATATGGGAGTCAGGGGTTCCAAACATACCTGCCTTCAACGACCACTTAATCAACTTTCATAGATCCACACGCAATTCTAGGGTCGACGCTGGACCACCGAAAGGTTATAAACATGGTCATCTGTTGCTGTTCTTTGAAAGGAGGAGGATGATGCGATGGAAGAGGGGATTCTATTGATGATGCCGGTACTGATGATGGTGATGATGGTGGTGCTGATGATGCTGCTGATGATGATGATGATGACGAGGAGGGGAAGGAGGAGGAGGGGGAGAAGGAGGAGGAGGGAGGAGGAGGCGGAGGATGAGGAGACATCTATCTGGGAGTGGTTGGATCACTCGATCGGAACAACTTGAACGACCCCAAATAGCAGAGGCGAAGCGCAATGCAACTCGCAAAGCAAGTAATGACAGCCGGGCCCTTAAAACAACTATCACCGACTACGCCGAAACGCAAGGCGGGCCTGGAAATACGAGAGCTCACTATTTACTGGACCTTTGCTCTGCAGTGAACAAAGGCTGTGAATTTGCTGCCACATCGTGCTAGAATCGTGCTGGAACGTGCAACCATGAAAATCGTTCAAGTACGTCAGTTCGCGATCTCGAAACTAAACTACGGTGGAAACGTGTTCCGTACCTGGGACAGATGCCCCCAGTAAGCCCCGATACGCCCCCGAGAAGCTCTCGAGAGACCCTCACAGGCCCCAAACTTCTTTAGCATTGGGAAGCAAGCTGCCTTTACGGAGTACCCTTGCCCACAATATGAATCAGCAGCAGCTTTTCCCAATGAAGGCTTCGCGCGACAATGATGAAACGTTTCCACCGCTCAACAACTCCCCAACCCTCGGCCACACAAGCAAATGCCACCAATGGAAACGGTTGCATAGTTAGGGTGTCCGAACAACCCCCTGTGGAGGTCATCACACCGCATCGTTCGGGAACATGAAAACACATCTCCCCAGATTGCTATCAGATGCCGAAATTATTCACCTTTGTTTTATTCCTCGTCGACCCCCCCCTGTCTGACTAGCGTGGGCCCTGTTTCGACTCTTCTGGTGACCGACAGAGCCGTGAGCAGGGGACCCGTAGGAAGCAGCTGAACTTCTCCTCGAGAACTGGGACCAACTTTCAGGTCGCCGAAAAGGTGTCTTGACGATTCTTGGGGCGGGCAACTCAGCGAGTGGCCTGCGAAACGTATCCGACAATGACTCGAACAGGTCGCGGGCCAGGCCAGACCACCAGCACCACCACAACAATCCTCCAAGCATTATCGTCGCGGCAACGCCAAAACCACCTAACAAATAAATCAAGAGCTCATCGCCGCCGTCCTCGACGCTGGCCAAACTCACCCATCCCGTGGTGGTGTAATAAGTGTAAGTATAAGTGGTCCGTGTCTTTGTGGTGTGCGATGTTGTCTCTGTGATGGTGGTGGTGTGAGGTGACATGCTGACAGTCTCCGTGACGGTGGTGCCCGTGGCGGTACTCTCCGTAGCTGTCGAGGTCGAAGAAACATACGTGACCGTAGTGGTATGAGGTGTCATCGACACCGCGGTAGTGGTCAGTGTTGTGGCGGTAGTTGTCCTGGTTGTGATGCTAGGGGTCAGGGCAAGCTCCGTCACCTGAAGAACACTGGTCAACGAGACTGTGGTCAGAGTCACTCCCGATCTGCCGGTCCCTCTGGGCCCACGAGGCTGTGAGGTGCAAGTTGTGAAATATGAAATGGAGCCATGGAGTGCTCAATAATACAACTTGGAGCATGCTGGCAAGGGAACCGCCTGGAACTACAATGATAGAGCTTGGGATGCACGTGGCCCCTCTGGATGCACGTGCCACCCCCCTCTCTCTCTTCTTCTCTCTCTGACTCTTTCTACATCTCTTTCCATTTTTTCTTCCTTTCTCTCTTTTGTTTCTCTGTCTCTCTCTCTCTCTCTCTCCCTCCCCGTCTCTCTCGCGCGCGCATGGGGGAGCGGCTTCTTGTTCCGTTCTTCCTTTCTCCGTTCCTTCTCCACCCACTGTCTAAGTATTGCTCTGCAGACAATGCTTGCACTAAGAATTCTCACTTCGGCAGTGGGGAACTGCTCCTTTGGGTCGCGATCGTCCGCTGGCGAGCTGATGCCCGGTGGTGAATGCCCTGGGTGCCTTTTCGTTGGTACCCTATGGTGTCCCATGGTTGGTGCCATATGCCCTATGGTTGGTGACCACTGGTGCCCCATGGTTAGTGCCCCGTGTTTTGTGTCCTCTTGTTCTATACGATTGGTGCCATGTGGCTCCCTGCGTCTGGTGCCCGTTGATTCGTGCTCTACGGTGCCCTGTTGTTGGCGTCCCGTGGTGCTCTTTGGCTGTTGCAGCACGACCCACTTATAGCGGTACGCAGGATGTTGCATATACACATGCATATACATATAACGGCGCACCGGGTCCGGGGGCCCGGGGCCGGGACCTCGACAACAAATGTGCGCCCCGGGGGGCCCGGAGGCTCGTCGGGGCTTGCCGGATGCCTCCCCAGTCAGACAAGACGGCCCAAGAAGCGCCCAAGACGGCCCAAGAAACTTCCAAGAGGCCTCCAAGAGGGCTCCGAGATGCTGAAGATGGCCTCCAGACGTCCAAGGACGCCCCCAAGAGGCCCCAAGAAGCCTCCAACATGCGTCCCAAGAGGGCCCCTAGACGCAAAAATTGGCCCATTCCCTTCGTAAAACGTACATTTTCAACAAAGTTGCCTTTTGGGCTTTCCGACGTTACAGGACGGCCCAAGAGGCGCCCAAGACCGCCCCAAGACGGCCCAAGAAGCTTCCAAGAGGGCCCCAGGACAGCCCAAGAGGGCCCCAAGACGGCCCAAGAGGCGCCCAAGATGGCCCAAGAGGGCCCCAAGACGGGCCCAAGAGGGGGCCCAGAGGGGACCACGAACCGCAAGCTCGAGCCTTCCGCCCCAAGAGGCCGCCAGGAGGCCCCCAGGAGGCCCCTCAAGAGGCCCCAGGAGACCCCAGACGTCCAAGGACGCCCCCAAGAGGCTCCAAGAAGCCTCCAACATGCGTCCCAAGAGGGCCCCTAGACGCAAGAATTGGCCCATTCCCTTCGTAAAACGTAGATGTTCGACAAAGTTGTCTTTTGGGTTTTCCGACGTTACAGGACAGGCCCAACAGGCGCCCAAGACCGCCCCAAGACCGCCCAAGAAGCTTCCCAGAGGGCCCCAGGACAGCCCAAGAGGGCCCCAAGACGGCCCAAGAGGCGCCCAAGATGGCCCAAGAGGGCCCCAAGACGGGCCCAAGAGGGGGCCCAGAGGGGGACCACGAACCGCAAGCTCGAGCCTTCCGCCCCAAGAGGCCGCCAGGAGGCCCCCAGGAGGCCCCTCAAGAGGCCCCAGGAGACCCCAGACGTCCAAGGACGCCCCCAAGAGGCCCCAAGAAGCCTCCAACATGCGTCCCAAGAGGGCCCCTAGACGCAAAAATTGGCCCATTCCCTTCGTAAAACGTACATTTTCAACAAAGTTGTCTTTTGGGCTTTCCGACGTTACAGGACGGCCCAAGAGGCGCCCAAGACCGCCCCAAGACGGCCCAAGAAGCTTCCAAGAGGGCCCCAGGACAGCCCAAGAGGGCCCCAAGACGGCCCAAGAGGCGCCCAAGATGGCCCAAGAGGGCCCCAAGACGGGCCCAAGAGGGGGCCCAGAGGGGGACCACGAACCGCAAGCTCGAGCCTTCCGCCCCAAGAGGCCGCCAGGAGGCCCCAGGAGGCCCCTCAAGAGGCCCCAGGAGACCCCCAAGAGGCCCAAAGGAGGCCCCGAGAAGCCCCAAATCGGCCCCCAAAATCCTTCGAACCTGCTTCCAGGAAGCCCCCGACAGGTTCAGAGGCTCCCGAGAAGCTACGTCAAACTCCCAGCGAGCGACGGGACGAGGCCCCCCACAAAATCACAAGAGGCTCCACAGGCGGCCCAAGAGAGCCCCAAGATGGGCCCGAGAGGGATTCCACGCAAGTTGTTATTGTATGGCTCGGGAAAGGACGAGGATGAGGAGGAAGACGAGGAGGAGGAGGAGGAGGAGGAGGAGGAGGAGGAGGAGGAGGAGGAGGATTCCTGGGTCTGTGACTCGACAGAACCTAAGCGCGCGCGAAGCGCGCGCGTGGTTCTAGTCTATATATAGCTACATGCTCATGTCTCTTTGTGTATGCGTACCACATGGTGTGTCAACTCGATTGCTTATCGAGCGTGCTGGAACCTACTGTTTGAGGGCGCCGCGGCCGCTTCCTACTACGGACTGCTGCGATTTCCTGGGATCCACGTTCCGCCTGACTCGCTCAGGCACAACGGGCACCGCTCTGAATTCCTACCCTGGCTATCGAGCCGCTACCTGCCCCATGCTGTACGCCGAGTGCCTCCTGTGTCACCAGGCGCCCTGCGAGTTCCAGGCGCAGCGTAATCTCCAACGACCATGTGCACGTCTTCCTCTGAATCCAGCTGTGGCTGCCGCCTGTTCTTCAACGAACGCCGCGGTTGTCGGCGACCAGGGCCATATCCACCCGGGTGCGACGACAGTCGTAAACCTGTCGGCGGCCAGCGTCACAGGACAAGCACCGACGCCCTATGCTACAGCCTTTCCTCGCTCACCGGGGTGGCGCCCCAGCGTACCATGGCGAGCGGGTGCAGAGCCACACTCTTTGCCCCTGCAGCTACTGGGTCGGCGTGGCCATTGGCGACGCAGGGCCCCTCCGCATCGCTCACTTCTCCAGCGGCAACGCCGCCAGGCTGTCGCAAACCAGCCTTGTCCCCAAAGCCGCTCCACTCGCCTCCGACAGGATGGCCCACCCCACCCCGCTCGGCGGCCCGCTCCGCGAGGCGTGGAGCGCGACCGCCCTCGCGCCCTGGGGGCGACGACCTGACCTGAGATGGGCGGGCCCCCGTTGAAGGGGCCCTGGGACACACAAATAAATAGACACACGCACATTCGAGGTTTCCCCGTATGTTCCCGTATTTTCCGGTTTTTCGTCGTCCCCCCACTTCCCACATCTTCCCATGTTTCCCTGGGGATCGACGGTTGATTGTGTCTGTGTGTCTTTGTCCATCCTGACCCTCAGGCTGTCGCGCCCAACGTCCTGAGTCTGGCCGCAGCCGGATCGTGCAGACCGCTCACTGGGTGGGACTGCGGACGCCCTTAGCGCGCGGGCCACTCGCCAGAGGGCCCCACGGGCAGTTTGCTCCCAGTGGCCGCAGCTCTCCAAGGTGTTGCTCCCGTCTGGGAGCTCTTTTGGGGAGCTGTAGCCGTCTTGGAGGCCTCTGGGGCTGTGTCGGGGCCATCTTGGAGGCCATCGACAGAACAAGGGGCGGCGCCGACTAGCATTGCCCCTCAAGGGGGCATTCTGTTAGCTCCCAGAGTCCTCTTGTAGCCATCTGGGGGCCATTCGGGGAGCTTTCGGGGCCCCTGTAGGGCTTTTTGGAGGCCCTGGGATTCATCACAAAATTCCCTCATTCTACTGCTGTGTCTCATACTGCGGCTCCCTCTCACCTCCACATGAAGACATTTTGATACATTTTGGGCCGAGGGCGCATTCTTATCAGCCCATCTACCCCCAAGCATGTAAAGCAATCCATTCAACAAACACTTCCCTTCAGCTCGCACATGCTTTTGCCTTTAGTGAGCTGTTTGCCTTCATAATGCGCCTGCCTCCTGCTGCGCTGGTTTCGCTTTGGTGGGTGTCCCTGTTCTCGCCAGCCCTTTCCGACGTGCAGGGGAATGGGGGAGCGAACGGCCAACTCTGTCCGACTTCATCTCGCTTTCTCTTCCGCCCCCTTCCCGCAATTGATGCAGATGGGCTCTGCTTGGGGCAAACGGCAGGTCTGTCGACACGTTTTGTCTGGGTGATCTGCACTGCACCACGTGCACATCCCGTTGGCGCTGTGAACGCCCGCGCGCCTGTTGCAAGCGTGGAGGTGCCCAGCTTCCCTAGATTGCCACCAAATCGTGGGCGCCCTGAAGGTGGCTCCCCCTGCTCGCTCGAGGCCTACGCCAAGAGTCGCATTCCACGGCTGCAGGGCCCTGCGCGTTCCCGCGGGAATCAAGCCCAGCAGCGCGCCGCAAACTCGCAAGCACTGTGGCCTCGCCCGCTTGCAAGTAGAAGGGAGCGCGCCACGCGGTTGAGCGTGATCACAGGGAACGCCTGCTGCAAGCGCAGCCGATCCAACGCCCTCTGCGTTGATGTTGGCCCCTGGGCGACGCGCCAGCGAGGCCCTGTGTGACTCTATAGTGCAGACGATGATCTCGTCTGCCGCGCACTGCCTTCCCTCCACCTCTCCATCTACCTCCTCCCTCCTCCCTCTCCTCTCCTCCTCCTCCTCCTCCTCCTCCTCCTCCTCCTCCTCCTTCTTCTTCTTCTTCTTCTTCTTCTTCTTCTTCTTCTTCTTCTTCTTCTTCTTTTTCTCTCCTCCTCCTCCTCCTCCTCCTTCTCCTCCTCTTCCTCCCCCCACCTCTCCTCCTCTCCTCCTCCTCCTCCTCCTCCTCCTCCTCCTCCTCCTCCTCCTCCTTCTCATCCTCCTCCTCCTCCTCCTCCTCCTCCTCCTCCTCCTCATGAGAATCCTCCTCCTGCTCCTGCTGCGTACTGCTATTAAAAGCAATCCCTCACTCCACAGGCGAACGCTGCGCGTCCCAAAACCATGCGCCATCCGCGCAGCCACCCTTCCTGCACCACTGCTGCCAGTAGTTCTCTCACGCGCTGGTTTCCCAATTTGTAGCTCGCCGTCTCCTGCCCATGCTCAGACGTGCCTGCGCCCCTCTTTGACATTGCGACGATGTCTGAGGTATTACTGCTGCTGTTTGTAACTGATTGCGTTGTGTCTGGTGTCATTCGTACAGGTCAGTTGCGACGCTGTACCCGGCACGCTGAACGGGTGTACGCGTTCTGCGGCTGAAGGTCGGCCGGTCTCACGTGCTGCCTCTGCCAATTCTTCTCGCAGACGGATTGTAGCTCGGCCGACTGTCAGTGCTCGGCCGTCCTCCAGTAGGACCTTCACCGTTTGGCTGTTCATCTCCTGCACTACGCCGTCGACGTACTTCTTGCCGACCTTCACCTCGACTGCATCGCCCGGGGCAAACGGCTGTTTTGTGACCTTGTGCTTCCGGTTGCGCCCTCCTGCTCCTTCTCCTCCTCCTCCTCCTCCTCCTCCTCCTCCGCCTCCTCCCTTTGTTTCGTCGTTCCCAGCTTCTCCTGTCTCCTCGTCCTCGTCCGAACTCCTCGTCCAGCCTCCTCTTCCTCCGCCTCGTCCTCCTCACCGAATAGTGTCTAAGATGCCATCAAGTGGCTCCGTGGAAGGCTCACAAGAGCACCAACATCTCCTCATAGCAATTCCACATTGCCGCAACAGGTCCCGATAGCAAGATGCATACTATCTGCTCATGAGTATCTGGATGACTATGCCGAAAGTTCCAAGCTGGCCCTGGACAGCCTGAACAGTTCCCCCAAGTAAGCCTGAGAGCCTCGAAGAGTCCCAACGAAGCATCAGGAGGCTCCTTCAAGCGGTCCACGCTTCGGGTTTTCGTTAGCATCTGGTTACGCTGCGCTTTGAACGCGTGTGCCCATGTGACTTCTTCGTTTCGACGTGGCCTGAAGCGGCCCAAAAACACAATTAGCTTCCTCGTCGTCGTCGTCGTCGTCGTCGTCGTCGTCGTCCCTTTCCTGCTCCTCTTGAGCATGGGATGCTCTAAGCTGGGGTCGGCGGAGGCAACCGCCGTGCTCCTTAGATATGGCCGCGCTTACCGTTCAGATAGGGAACGGGCGTAATGATGCCAACTCAGCCTGTGTAGTTTGCAACAGCAGGAAGGTCCTCCTCCTCCTCCTCGTCCTCTTTCTTTTCCTCTTCCTCGTCTTCGCGCCCCGTCTGCTATGCTGCCAGGCGCGAAGACGAGGCCGCAACTTTCATGACCTTGTGGTTCTGCCGCTCTCGCTGGCTTTCCTCGGGGATCGACTGGCCCGGGTCAATCCAGACCAGGGTCAGTCAGGCACTGCATGATCCTGCAAGATCCTGCACCTAAGCCCGGGTCAATGCGACCCTGGCCACGCAGGATCCTGCGCGATCTGGCGCTCTGACTGCCCCCCGTTTGCATTGACCCCCGTCTCAAGGCCTCCGATTCCCCGGCCAGGGAAGCCAGCCGGCCAATTTCTTCCGGTGGGAACGGCAGCGTGGCACACGCTGGCCGGCCGCCGCCTGGAGGGCCCGTCCCCTGCCCTGCCCGCCTATCCTGCCCCGCCCTGCGGAAAGCGGTGAGCACCGCATGCCAACTATGAAGAGAACTCTTCCAGCCAAGCGCCCTTGAGGAATGCCTGGGTCACCAAACTTTCCGGGTCGAGCCCCGCGGTGCGCGACGCGCTGATATCCTCGCGCCCCGGCGCCGTCGCCGCTGCAGAAGAGCACCTTTGCGGCCCAGGCCGCGATGCGCGATGATCTCCGCGCTCATGGGGCGACCCAGAGTACAGTCAAAGTTTGCCATTTTGGGCATCATTTGCGCCCAGATTCACGAGGAACTCTTGGGGAACATCGTTGCGTGAAACCTGAGGAAAGTCGAACCCTTTTCGAAACCAACGTGGACCTCATCCCAAAATCAAGACTGAATGGAATCCGCTCCCTGGCTCATTTTTTCGCATCCCACACTTGTTACAACTATGTCTTGGGCCTTCATCTGCAACCCGGCATTGCCAATGCATCTGCCCAGATGCTGCCAACTTCGCCAAATTGCATCGCAGCCGTTGGACAGGTTCTGTTCACTGGAAATGTCTGGGGCGGCGGTGGCTCGCAGCAGGCGATTAGGATAATGTTGGATCAGCGGAAACTTTTGCGTCCAATGCATCTCGCAGCCCACCATTTTTGAACAAGAAATGAATGTTCGTCACAAGAGAATTCGTTTGAGTCACATCGGCTGGCAGCACACTGACTCTGTAGTCCGCAGAAAAGTAATCAACTGCGACCACCGATGTAGTGACTGCAGACGACCATTCACGATCAGTCGCGACGATGTCCGAGACCATGTCCGACACATGGGCGGACATTAACTCTGCTTGCCAGGTCCTGAATGAGCCTGCGACGAATATCTCCAATCTGACCACCTGCTCGTTGTTGGGGTTGCTGGCCCCCGACAGATCCTCTGATGAGACGCATCAATGGAAGCCACAAGGCTGGAGTAATTGGGGCCCCAACATCGCACCGCATCGCCGATGCATCGACGACGTATAAGGGATGTCGGCATGCAGGAAGTTGGGAGCCAGATCGCGATGGGATCGGCCACGCAGTGGGATCGGGGGGCCCAAGTCACTCTGGCCCTTTTGATGAGTCCTGGAACTCTCCATGGGCCTCCTTCCTCCTCCTCCTACTACACAGCTGCTCAATATGAATACTACCTTCCTCCCTCCCCCGAAGATGACAGGGGAATGGCCCGCCCCTTCCGCGTACTGCTTCCTACACACAGGGTTTCATTGAAGGTGAGTGCATTTTTTTTTACTCTTTGAGCGGGCGCAAGCACCCGCGTGGTCATGCCACGAATTCACGGGCGCTGCCGCTCGCCCGCGCAAGCGGCGCGGGACTGCGGCGGGCCCCGCGGCGGCCGAGGAGGGGGGCGCTCACCAGCGCTGGCCCCCCGCGCGCGGGGCCGCAGCGCCGCGCTCCCGCGCGCGGTCCAGCTCCCCGCGCGCCTGGGCTGCCTCGCGCCCTCGGGCGCGGGCGTCCTCCGCCGACGCGAAGCCGTGCGCGCGGAGGACGCCCTCCAGGGCGGGCACGAAGAGCTCCTGCACGCCCTCGCGCACCGCGGGCTGCACCGCCGCCGCGCCCGAGGTAGCCGAGGCGCTCGCCGAAGCCGCCGCCGCTCCGCCCACAGGCCCAGCCGCGCCAGCTGCTCGGCCCGCTGCAGGCTGTGCAGCCGCAGGCCTTGGCGAGCCGCCAGGGCCGCCAGCGCGCGCCGCCGCCAGGAACTCGTCCACCTGGGGGATGGGCCCGTCGAAGTCGTCCATCTTGAGCGACCTCCTCCAGCGCTGCATCTCCTCCATCGTCGGCGTCTTGAGCATCGCGATCGGCGGCTTCTCCTTGCCTGGCAATCGCAACTTGCCGAAGTCCGTCCTGGCCTGAGCACGCGACCCTTGGCTTGATCTGCGATCGCCACCGACGCACGGCTTGGCCAGGCCCCTGTGCGCGTACCGCGGCTGGTGGCAGTACATGAAGCAGCGCGTGCACACCAGGATGGCCTCGCTCGGCTTGCTCACCACGTTGGTCTGCATCAGGTTGTGGCCGTGCACTACCCATGGCTCGGTTCCAGCCGTGAGAGCAGGAGACGGGCGTTCCTCCTCCAGCTGGATGCGCTGAGAGGACGCTGCGGACGACCTGGCCTCAGCCCTGCGCCGAACCTCTCTCGCAAACACCTCGCTCGCTGCCTCAGCACGAGTAGTGCCCACCTCGCCTGGCCCCGCAGCGATGGGGGCGGCAGGGGCGGAGTCGGCCCTCTGCGCAGCCGCTGGGCGCTTGCGGACAGGCCCCGCTGCGCCGCCCGCGGCGCCTGCAGCAGCACCTGTTGCCGCTGCGCTGGTCGCTGCCGCCGCGGCGAAGGCTGCCGCTGTCACAACTGCCGAGCCTCTGCCACGCTGCGCCGTGGAGGCGTCCAACAAGCCGTAACCCTCGTCCTCGCACGCCATGTTCCACGGGTAGAGGAACGGCTGGAGGTTGACGTTATCCAGGGCTTCCGTCGGCCAGCAGTCTCGCAACCCAGAATCCGCGATGTAGACCTCGATCTCTGCGGCGAAGCGAGCTGCGTCACGTGCCCTGGCCAGGCAGCCCTCCAGGAGCTGGACGTCGTCGGCTGAAAGAGCGTGGAGGGCGGCTCCCTCCTTCGCTCGCTTGTCTGCTAGGCGGTTGCCGAAGAGCTCGGTAGCCGATAGCTCTCCTCTGGCCACTGCCGCTTCTGACCGATGTGCAGGAATGTGCTTGACTTCAACACCTTCAGCGGCATCCCCAACTCTGGCCCAGAGATGGGCGTAGGTCGAAGTTGGGCCCTGAGCTCTGCCAAGGTTGAGCGCCGATTCCACTGCGCCCTTGCAGTCGATCAGCAGCTGGTAGCTGCCAATGACCTCAGTGAGCGCCACCACCGCTGCGTAGTCTTCTCCAGCACGTGCCGTCTGCGAGGGGCATAGACTGGGGGGAACCGCCCCCCACGCCTCTGCTAAGATCGCACCTTCCGTGGACATCACGACGGCCGACCAGCCCGCGCTGCGCAGGCGCGGAAAGTCACCGAGGATACAGGAGCCGTCGGTGAAAACCATGGCACCGTCTTCGACCACAACTGCTTCATGCCAACCATGAGAGAGCCGCTCCCATTGAGGCTGCCAGCACGGACGATGCAACAGCAGGGAGGGGTCCACGAACAGGCCCTGGCAGAACAGCTCATCGAACGGCGGGCCCATCTCGTGGACCAACCAAGCAGCACGCTTCAGGTCGGACGGCAGCCTGTCACGCCGCCAAGGTTCCCAAGCTGGGCAGACGTGGTGCCTGTGGAACATCGTGCCTCGTGCAGCCTGGCATAGCTTGCAGATCGGGTCGATGTCCGAGGAGTGCCTCGCAAGACGGTCCTGGGGCCAGTGCGAGAGCGAGACGAGCCAGCGCAGGCAGCCTTTGTGGTGCCCAGTCCAGGTCTCCGTCTCCTTCATGCCGAGCAGCTCGTTGACTGGCCTCCACTGTGGCGGCAGCTTCCATGGCCAGAGCGATCCAGGACGAGCTCGAGCCTCCTCAAGCGCAGCCGCTTTCCTCGTGGCCTCCCTGGCCTTCTCCGCCAGGAGCGCGGGCGAGACATGCAGCACCTCGAACTCCCCCTTGTCCTCGTCCAGCAGCTTGGTGCCGTCGGCGGAGAGCTGCCAGCCTATCCTCTGCGTGAGCGCCGCTATCGGCTGACGGACCGAGCTCCAAGGCCGCTGCTTGCTGAGCACCTGCTGGCTCTCTTGGATGCACGCTTGGATGGCTGATGCAGTGGCTTGTCCAGACCACACCACGTTGACGAATGCCTGAACTGCCATTCCCGCTGAACAACCAGCGGGTCCTGCCGCCAGCCGCGGGGCGCACGCTGCAGGGCGAAACTGAAGGCCGCTCCAGGCGGCAGGCGACCCGCGCTCTTCGCAGCTGCCACCCTCAGCGCCCTCATGCGCCCAGGTGGGACTCCAGCGATGGCCGAGCCCCAGAGCGCCTTGGCCGTCGGCCCAGCTCGCATCACCCGAGCTTGCCGAAGCCCAGGTCCGAAGATGCGTGTCAGTCGCGCTGCCTGACGGAGTGCATCCAACTCACGCTTGACCTGCGTCGCCACCATGCGGTGACCACCAGCCGTCGCGTCACCACCGAGATCTCGGTGTCCCTGAGCAAAGGCGGCCCTGTCCAGCGGCCACCCCTCCTGCTTCACCAGCTCGCGCTGGATGTCCACTGAGGAGGCCAGCACTTTCGTCTTGCCCCAGTTGATCGGAAACCGCTTGTCTCTCAGCATCGCCACGACGCCCTGGACGAAGCTGTTCACCTGACTGACCAGCACGCCTCTGGATCCGATTCCATTGCCCGAGATGTCGTCAATCACGTTGACGATCCGACCGGTGGGGAGCTTGGCTCGGCTCTTGACAAGAAGGTCCATCAGCATGAGCCTGGCCATCGTTGTCGCACACGAGCAGCCTGCTATGACCGTGCCCCTCGCATGGATCTCCTCGCTGACGGCGCTGTCTGCAGTAGCTCTCCTCGGTCCCGAGTATGCCACACAGAGCGCACGTACCAAGCCTGTGCAGAATCAATTTAGCTCGGCCGCCTTCAGAAGCAGCCCGTGGTCGATCCGCTCGTAGAATTTGCTTATGTCAAAGTATACCGAGACACCGTCGAAGCCGACCTTCCGAGCGAGGCCTAGGTACAAGTTGTGCAAGTACGCTGCTCTATCGCAGCAGGTGTCAGAGCTGCTGCCCCAAATCTCAGGAAGGCGGTGGTCGCGCTCCCATTGTAAACAATACTGCCTGCGAATCCTGCCCCAAACTCGGAGCCAAAAGCACATCAGGCCGATAGGGCGATGTCCTCCCCCAGGCTTGCCCAAGAAGACGATGAGCGTGGTGAACATCGCCGTCGGCTGCGGGTGCCTTTCCCATTGCGTCAGCACGTCAGCCATGCGCTGCGCAAGCGGCCTTCCTAGCATCGTCAGCAGCCTGGGGTGGAAGCCATCCCATCCGAGCGCCGTCTTCTTCGCGAACGTCTTCGCCGACGCTAGCACCTGCTCGGCCGTGATCGGGGGCAGGTCCGACGTGGTGAGCCAGTCAGCAGGCCTAGTCTGCTGGCCGTCCCCGCTGCTCCACAGGGCCTTCCATTCCACTAGCATATGATCCAAGGCCGCTTGGCCCACCAGTGGTACAGGAGGCGAGGGCCTCCTCCAGCCAGCGACTCGTCCACGAACTCCTTCCAGCGGGTCCTAGCTGCAGACGCATCGCCCTTGACGTGCTTGTCAGTGACCCTGGCGATGGCCTTCATCACCTGCAGCCCGTCAAAGGAGCCGCGCCTGACCTCGTGGACTATCGTATCCATCTTGGTGCCGTTGAACATCGGGTTGCCCAAGCCGTCGAACTGAACTGCCAGGGAGAAGATCGCCTGCTCCAGGTGCTTCATGTATAGCGCATGGCCTTTGGCTGGCTCTGAGACCGAAGCCGCTGCCTTGAGTTGCTTGACTAGCCTGCCGCGTGAGAGCCACAGCGTCGTCAAAGGGCTTACCTTTCTGGAGGTCTCCGTACGCTGGAGGTCCTTGAGGCTGATCTCTACCCGCTTGAGCCCGTCCGCTCTGCCGCGGTACTTGGGGCCGTCACTGACACCCAACATGGC